TCCTGCTGCTTGTTTAAGTGTTGACTCTGTTTTTATTTCAGATATGAAGAAATAGACCTTGAAACAGGAATCCTGGAAACAAAAAGAGATCCTGTTCCTTTGGATGATATTTATCCAGTTCACATGATTCTAGATAATAAAGATGGCATACAAGGTTCCTGCCAGTATTTTAAAGAGAGAGTAAATATTACTGATCAAATAAGGACGAAGGATTTGCAGCCTTGTTGTACTTACACAGAAGCTGTTGAAAAGTGAGTAAAATTTTGACATGCATCTAATGACTTTCAGTTAATTTCTAAAAATTTAGTCCTTTCACTGTTTTCAAATAGCTGTCTTAGAGTCATCCTTCAATCAGTTATTAAATTGCTGTAAGCTTTTTCTGACTACTTATTTTTCTCTAATTGTGATATTACAGAACTTGCCTTTATCTGTGCTACACTAGGGCTTTCCCTCAAGATGTGGTTTATTCACCTCTAATATTTTGTCAGAGTGCAGATACTGCATGTTTCTGGTTATTATAATGCTGCTAAAATGTAACTCCAGTCACATTCCACAGCTAGGTGAGCTATTGGATATTTACTTCAGAAGGTAGAAGTTTTTCAGAAAAAAAAACCCTGGCAGAAAAATAAACATGTTAAGACTAGTCAAATATTCAGATCCCTCTGTTGCAGGGAGTAGACATTTGATGTTTGGCAAAGCAATAACTTCAGGGATATGAAGGATGCTGGCTGCTCAGTAAATACATTAATTCATTGTTGAAAATGCAATTTATGGAAAATCCTTATGAACAAGTTTGAACTGCTAGTTACTCAAATAGTAGATGTATGCATTAAACCAGATGCATAGACTAAAACATATTCTTAGTCCGACCTAGCATGTCTGTGGCTGTTTGTCATTTTAACAACTGAAAACTCCAACTGCACTTTAACAGTACAGAAAACTTTAACTTTCAAGCTTGGACGCCACTCATTTTCTTTCAGATTGTGTGTTACCTTCGTTCTATCTCTACCATAGGAGCAAGCATAGGATTCTGTAACGTATACGCTAACATTATTTTTTTTTCTTACTTTTCATTCTGTTTCATAGATGGGGAGAGAAACTAGTTATTGTTGCTTCCCAAGACCAGCGTTATAGAGCTTTAATAGGCTGGGAGGGAGATCCCGACTTGAAACTCCCTGACTTCTCCTATTGCATATTGGAGCGTTTAGGTCGTGCTCGGTGGCAAGGAGAGCTTCAGAGGGACCTTCACAGCGGAGCTTTCAAGTAAGTTCAAGTTTTATTATGTAAACTAAATTGAACTAATATGTTCCATTGGTTGCCTAAAATTTCTGGGCAGATCAGAATTCTGTGCATTGAGTGAAACTGGTATCTGTTTCAGGATTGTCTCATCCTTACTGACAGGAGCACTTTGGTTCTTGGAGCCTTTGTTACTAGAGGTGTTGGTCTCCTTGAAGTCATAGCACAGGTCTCTAAATCACCTCTTTTAAATTTCAGCTGAAAGAGGATTTTCATTTCCTTTTTTTAAGGTGCTGAGTAAGTTATTCTGCCCGAGTCATTAAGAGATGCCTAACCTTTGCCCTCTCTGGTTGCAAGCCAAAGGTACTTTGGCTAATGGTTGCCCTA